TGTCTCTGTTTACTTCTTTATTAGATTATGGACTCTACTGCTATGCACAAGATGCCAAAAGGCACGAAACTTCAAAGGCCTGAAATTAAGGTAACTCATCATAAACCCGGGGCTGGTTGAAAATTTTTATTAAATGTGTGTTTTTGTTTCTTCTTTTTCTTCTGTTTTTGTTTTGTTTTGGTAAATATCCTTGATTACTCTGTATGGCATTAGATTTGCGCTTCCAGACATACCAGTGTCTTTGGACACTTTTCTATATGGCTTATTAAGAAGATCTAGTGTATATAGAGACTCGGCATATGCATCACCAAAAACGGAGCTAAGAGAGAATTTACCCACAAAGCTGGATGGGTGAAAATGAACATGGCCAGAACTAAGCACTTGTATGTGATCATAGGAGTATTGATCCACTGATCCCATCTATGGATGTGATCAAAACAGAATTGGTGTTTGTTAATTTAGATAACCTTGTCTTTTGAGGTAAAAGATAAATGCTGTTGTTAAAACTTGTTTGTTTGGGGTTTTTTTTTTCTTCAGATTAGGGAATTTACAAAGGTAAACAGATTTCAAAGTTTCAGATTTTTAGAGTCCTGACTTTTCAGGTGACAAAATGCTGCAGCTTGACTTTTAACTGGCATGCGCAAGACAGACCACATATCATTTTTAAGGCATTGCATGCGTTTGCACCTTCTTGCTTCCATTTAACTTTGCGTACTTCCATTAGATCACTGAGATCTGCTTAGCAGGTTCTCCTAGATTAAAACAGCTGATCAGGTTTTCGCTCCTAAATTGTGGAACAAACTGCATCTGCACATCTGGACCCCTCCAGCATTAGACATTTTCAAAACCTGTTTTCATCATTGGCTTTTAACTCTAATTAGATTACTTTTTCTCGATCCTGCTTTACTCATGTTCTCATTTTTTCTTTTTAAAATCTATTTTATTTTTATTACCTACCTGTCCAGTTGTACAGGATGGTAGCCAGCAGTTTTTTTGTTTTTTTTTTTTAAATGAGCTTATAAATAAACTAAACTGACCATATTGACTACACCACAGAGGGTATTGTTAATCCTGATGATGTGAGCAGAATTGGTGACCTTAAATTGGACGTTGGCGAGAGCATATGGTTGTCTCTGTCTCTGTTAGCCATGTGACACACCAGCGACCTGTCCAGGATGTGCTCAGTGACAGACTAGGTCAAATAGATGGTTAAGAAAATTGAAATTGAATTGAAAATGAAATGAATTTCAAATTACAATTTTTTTTCAAGGTAAAGCTAATTTATAATACTTTCAAAAAAGTAAAAAGCTTGAATCTTTTTTCAATTATTATTATTGTTTATCTTGTTTGTTTGCAGTCAAGCAGTGATGGGCCCAAGCGGATTCCTGTATTGCAGCAGTCACAGCCCATTCAGAAGGCTGTAGTCACACCAACCCCGCATCAGCGAGTTCTAGGTGTATCAAATGGACCTCAGCGCGTTCAGAGGCCTATGAGTCACCAGAAACCGGTGTCAAACCTGTCCCTTACTGTCAAGTCGACACACCCTGCTGATCAGAATGTGAACCCCGCTATTCAGAATGTAAATGCAGCAACACAGCTCAAACCCAGCACCCAGCAAAACCAGCTGAAAACGCAAGCTCCTAAACCAAACCTGACCAAACCCCAGTTGGAACCACAAAAGCCAGAGAAGCCACAGGGTAAGTGTAATACTAAACTGGGAAAACAATGGTGTTTGTGTCTGTGTTTTGGGTGCTAAAATGTATCCTCCTCTTTCTTTGTCCAGACAAACCTGCCAAGAACGATCACGCACAAACCTCTACATCAAAGTACGTTTAAGAGTGGTTCCTTGTCTCATCCATATACTTTTATGACAGGTTAAAGTTTATGTCGCTCTTGCTGTAACCGTGTGCTGTTCTGCTCACACAGGACACGATGGAGTCTGGAAAATTTTGACATTGGTCGTCCTTTGGGAAAGGGGAAGTTCGGGAATGTCTACCTCGCCAGGGAGCGACAGACTAAGTTCATCCTGGCCCTGAAGGTGCTCTTCAAAAAGCAGCTGGAGAAGGCTGGGGTGGAGCACCAGCTGAGGAGAGAAGTGGAGAT